ATCAGAAAGAAGAAAAAGAAAGAAAAGTGGTAGCATTTTTTCTAACAAGATAAATTCTAAAAATGTTTTCCCTGATTTCACAAACAAGGATAGTCTTGGTGACCTTTTACAGAGATCCTCTAGTAATGTATTTTGATCTCAGATTTCTTTTTCAAAGCCATGGTTTTACAAAAACAGCATTCCTTAAATATATTTAAAAAACAATACAAGGAATGCCTAACATTTCAGCTCATACTTCTTAAAGAAGATATAGTATGTTGTATTCTTCTATTCTATAGAGCTTTCTTAAAGAATCCACAATCCAATTACCCCACTGTCAATTCATATTTGAACTTACCAAAAACAAAGGAGGATTACGTATATACTTTTTAAATTCAAAAAAGAATATGAAATTATACATTTAGTATTTCTTTGAGACATATAGTTTAAAGAAAACTTTTTTTTTAAACAAAAGTAGGAATATATAGCAAGATTATAGTTACAGTGAGTATATGCACTTTTGATGCTAGGTTTTGCTTTTCTCCCCCCAGTCATATCTCATGATTTCCACAGTTGTTGTATTGTTGTGGAGTTTTCTGAATTGGCATAAGCTGATTACATATTAGAGGTTTATTTTTATGATTCTATATAAACGTGCACAAGTAATTTAAAACCTACATTGGGGTTGGTTGGAATATTGTCCTGAACTAATTAAATCTTGCACTGTTTTGAATGCATCTGCTATTTACACATCTGCAAGTGGGTAGGTCATAAGGAGTCAGATTATCTTTAATTTAAAATGAATACTTAGTTTTACCTTTTTATTTTTTGTTTAATTTTGTTTTGTCTTTATAAATGTTTTCAAGAGTCATAGCAAATTGATTTCTAATTTTTGTTGCTATTACAACTGATGTAAATGATAGTTTCAGTTTTTGTGAGATTAAAAAAATAAAGCACTTATTCTGAATTTTTTGAATTTTGAATTATTTTTATTTAGAATATAGTTGAAAAGCTGTAATATTCAGTTTTGCTGGTAAAAGACCATTAATTTTTGTGAATGAAGTTTCAATTATAAACTTACATCCACTTTTATTGAGCACTACTTAATTTACAGATATTTTGTTGTACTGGCAAAAGCAAGTGGTTTCATTATGCTAGATTAATTTGTATTTTCTTTTTGAGCAGATTGGATGTCTTGTTCTTATAAATTATAATATTGAAATGCGTATAATCTTTGGATGGATGGGCTGTTAATTTGTAAATAGGTTTTCAGTAAGTTATTTCTCATAAGTAATAATTGGCAATTTTATAATATTTACTGTTTGGAGGGTCATTTTGATGCTTTAAATTGCTGAAATACTCAAATTTGAATATTCAGAAAATAAATTTATTTAGATATATTGTAAAGAGACTGCAAAACAAGCAATGGGTTAGAATAATAGATCTTCAAGTCTTTTCTTAAATGGGATATGTAGTTCCAGCTTTTCAGTGAGAAATTTCCAAACCATGCTTATTAGCTTTAAATGGTCTCTTGAAATGATCTATAAATTTTTCTCAGTGTCCTTTTTGTGTTGAACACACACATCTGAAACCTGTATTTAACCAGATATTTCTACTCAACTGAATATACAAGTGTAAATTTGATTGGAAAATTGTATATTATAAATGAAAATATAATAATCAAGAGTTTTGTGGTTTGTTTTAATTAGTAGTTTTATCATATTTTTATTATAAAAGTAATACATGTACGTTGGGAAATTTAGAAAAGCACAAAGAAGAAAATAAAGTACTTGTTATAAAAAGAAGAAAAACCGAAATTGGTATCAGGCTATATATAATGTTATAACCTGCTTTTTTCACTTAATGGAGTTGAACGTTTTCTGATGTCATTAATATTTCTCATTACTTTTTTTTTTTTAATTGTAGAGACGGGGTTTCACCATGTTGACCAGGCTGATCTTGAACTCCTGGTCTCAGGTGATCCACCTTCCTCGGCCTCCTAAAGTGCTTGAATTACAGGCATGAGCCACTGTGCCTGGCCAGTGATGTCATTAATATTTCTATTTCATGGCTTTTACTAGTTACATAGTATTCCAGCATGTGAATATACCGGAGTTTACTTAGCTAACTGCTGACTGTTGAACTTTGACTGTGGCTAGGTTTTGGCTGTTACAAACAACAATTAATACGCTGGGCATGGTGGCTCACGCCTGTAATCCCAGCACTTTGGGAGACTGAGGCGGGTGGATCACTTGAGGTCAGGAGTGTGAGACCAGCCTGGCCAACAAGATGAAACCCCATCTCTACTAAAAATACAAAAAACTAGCCTGGCGTGGTGGCGCATGTCTGTAATAGCAGCTATTCGGGAGGCTGAGACAGGAGAATCACTGGAACCCAAGAGGCAGAGGTTGCAGTGAACCGAGTCCACACCATTATTACACTCCAGCCTGGGCAACAGAGTGAGACTCCATCTCAAAAAAAACAAAATAAAAGTAAAAGAAAAACAAACAACAATGAATAGTATCCTTACAGATAAATCTTTGTGTATAAAAGAGTTACTGTCAAGAACTCCTAGAAGTTGGAATTCTAAGTAAAAACATGTCTCCATTTAAGACCCTCTAGGAAGGCTGCACAGTTTACGCTTTCATCAATGACATCTGCTTCCCTACATCCTTATCAACACCAATTATGATAAATCTTTCTCTTTAGACTGATAAGCAAAAAGTCATTTAAATCTCTCTCTCTCTTTTTTTTTTTTGAGACGGAGCTTTGCTCTTGTTGCCCGGGCTGGAGTGCAATGACGCGATCTTGGCTCACTGCAACTTCTGCCTTCCAGATCCAAGCGATTCTCCTGCCTCAGCCTCCCGAGTAGCTGCATGGAATGCACCACTATGCCCAGCTAATTTTGTGTTTTTAGTAGAGACGGGGTTTCACCATGTTGGCTAGGCTGGTCTCGAACTCCTGACCTCAGGTGATTCACCTTGTCTTCCCAAAGTGCTGGGATTACAGGCATGAGCCACTGCGCCTGGCCACTAAATCTCATTATTAATGTCACCATTTTAATCAGGTCACTAATAAGTGATAATTTTTATTGCTTATTAACCATATTGTTTGTAGATTGCTTGAAAATACCCCTTATGTTTTCCTTTTGGAGTGATTGTCTCTTTCTGATAAATTTATGGAGCATTATTACTTACCAAGAATATTAACCCTTTGCTTTCTAATTTTACTTATGTATGTTTGACATGGCATGTACTTTTTTGGGTAAAATTTTTAAAAACTATACCCCTTAAAGAAATTCTGAATGTAAAGCTCAAGCAAATAAAAGCACTACTATTTAATGAAAAGACAATCATTGGCTATAAATCTAAATGGTCCTACCCAAAATTTATGAAAGTCCCTACAGAACTTAGAGCTTCCTTTTTTATGATTTTGCACAATTTTCAATGTCATAAAAAAGGCAATGCTAAAAATGTTATTCAAACTCCTTGTCCTCCTTTTAAGAGACTAGTTGAAGCTGTCTTTGACATTCTCTACACTAAAGGAATTAGGAAGAGAGTTATGTTTTTAAAGTGGTATTATTTTAGTTTTAAAATACATATATTTTTTGTTTTTATTTTTTTGAGATGAAGTTTTGCTCTTGTCTCCCAGGCTGGAGTGCAATGGCACGATCTTGGCTCACTGTAACCTCTGTCTCCCAGGTTCAAGCGATTATCCTGCCTCAGCCTCCTGAGTAGCTGGGATTACAGGCATGTGCCACCATGCCTGGCTAATTTCGTATTTTTAATAGAGATGGGGTTTCTCCATGTTGGTCAGGGTGGTCTCAAACTCCCGACCCCAGGTGATCCACCCACTTCGGCCTCCCAAAGTGCTGGGATTACAGGCGTGAGCCACTGTGCCTGGCTAGATTTTATTTTTTAAACTTACGTTAGTTTGGAACTCCACTCTGGCATTCTGTCATGCTTTTTGCCATTTTAGAAAGTAGTGTCACCACTTTCCTTTGTGTGCTTAATCTTTTCCTTCAACTAATTTCTTGGCTTTTATGAAACTGCTTATTATTTTTATTTTATTCTTGCATAGGAGGCTGATCCAACAGAATAATATCTAATTATAGCACCATGAGATGGCAGAACGGAATGTCATATCTGTAGACTTTTGACAGGAAAGTGAGTATGTGTGTGTTTTTGAGACCTCTTACTCCATCTTGTGGTGATATAATTATATCAATTACTCTTGCATTCCTGATAGTCATATGTGTGCCTCACAACTCATTACGTGGTTAGGCATTGCCCTGGTTATTATTAAATTTGCATTAGTTATTTGGTTATGAGTAAATATATATGATAACATTAAGACTTGTGTATAATTAAAAATGGAAATCCTATTGCTTTGGTATTTTGTCCTTTCACTTAAGAGTTTGAAGTACTTCATTAGCATTATTTTTTTTATTAACTCTCTTGAGATGTGAACAAAGCAAGCAGATTTTAAGGTATATCTCCTGGCTAACCTAAGCCATGTAGTTAAGTCACAGAGCAAGTTAATGAATGGATCCTGCCTAAAACTTGAGAAACTTAAAACTAGATGTTACTCTTGTAACTAGAACAAAGTGTTATCACACAACTAGTTGAATGGCTGAGCCAGGGTTTGAACTCCAGTAATCTGGCTTCAGAGCCTAGGCTCTTCATCTTAACCAGATTGTTCTTTAACAGCGTGAAATAGAACACAGAACCGCTGACTTTCAAACTCAACTGTAATGATTCTTAAGTATTATAAATCAAGATTGGATTGTTGTGGTTAAGACTGCATTTTTTTTATGATAGGCATCCTCTGCGTTAATGGAGGGTCTAATGGAATATTTAAAAACATACATTATGTGATAAATGATTTACAATATATGGTAAATCTTTTGGGAGGAAATTATGATTAGGAAACAATATCATCCATGTGTTTAAATGTTTTCCTAGAATTAGATAAGGTAAAATACAAATGAAACTGAGCATTTTATTTAGAATTTGCTTAGAAACTTTGCATTAATTTATTTAGGGTTATTATTGACAACTGAAGATTCTGAACTGTTCGACTTGAAGGAAATATCCCACAAGGTTAATTAATAGGAATCACTTCTGACTTTACACTCTGTGCCAGTTTTCTGAGTTCTTTACAATAAGCCTGTTTTTTTCCTTGCAAATTAAGAAATAATGTGGTTAATAGAATGGTTTCTAACAATATACTACACATATTAGCTTCAATAAATTCTAGAAACCAGAATGTGCTGCTATTGTTTTGTGTTTTTTCCAGATAGTATTCCAAGTCTACAAAATTGAGTACCTTTCTCCATGTGTTTTAAGATTCATTAGACTTTCATTGTAACACAAACGTTATCACAGTACTGTAATGCTTAATGTTAACATTTTCTGGTTTCCAGTTGAATGCCTTTAAGTATAATCTGAGGTGAGACTTATTTTAATGAGTCAATGGATTGACTTTAAGGGAAGTGGTCTGTGAGAGCCAAAATTTAGTTAACTGCTGCTCTAGAGACAGCTTATTTGTTAGAAACATGAGTTGAATCTTGGCCCCTCTCACTAAGTTACAATCCTTTATCTACAAAATTACACTTACCTCATAGGGTCCTGAAGAATAAATGCACAGCATGTAACACAGTACCTGGTGGTACAGTAAACACTTAGTAAACATGAGCTATCATTAGGGCTAAGCGCTGGACAAATTATCTCCAGGTATTGCAAGGTATTTTCTTCAGTGGGCTGTGAATATAATTTTGAATTTTCATGGGAAATTAATCTACTTAAAACATTGTAATTAGTAAGGAAAAGTCTGATTCTAATTGTTTCATTGTCCTAACATAGTGATTTATGAACGCTTTTCTGCCCTTGTGGTGGTTCACTTACCTCCATGTGAGAAGTAGTAGAGTTGCTTAGATGCCATTATTTCTACTGACCTTGAACAAGTGACAAGAGCATGATTTCCATGAAGCAGTCACCATGAATCTGAAATCACACCTTCAGTTTTAGTTCTTTCGCTTTGTTTTTTAACAATTTTGCTTTTTATGTTTTCCCAGAATCACCATGGTCGATTACTTCTGCTCATCTCAACATCTCGTTCCTAAGCAGGATATGAGAACTTGCCTTCCCGTGACCTCTCCTGGGCTCAGTGACACTCCAGTCACTGCCCCAGCCCCCACCAATACCACTTCCAAGTTTGACTTGCATCTTACAAACCATATTTCTGTTTACTTTTTTTCTGCTCTGGGACATTTTTAATAACTTTTAGATAACAACTTTAACAAAAATTTATCTCCCACCAAGAGAAGTTGTCTTTATTCCCAAGAAGGGGAATAACTTGCTCTTTAAGTCAGTTTTATTACAGGTATATTTGTACCAGCTTTTTCCTCTACTTGTGTTAAGACCTGTCTCCAGTAGACATTCCGATTGAGGATTGTGGAAATAGCAAATGACATTGGTGTCTGCCCACCACTGAAGGCAAAAAGCTGGTTTATCTAGGCCACAGGCAGAGCCCGCAGGGGAGGCAGGTAACCTCTTGGACCACCAGATTATTTTGATCTTCAGCCAGCTTTATTGTTGTTCTGCGTTTTAATAAACAATACATTTTTATTTTATTTTATTTTATTTTTTTGAGGCAGAGTCTCACTGTTTCGCCCAGGCTGGAGCACAGTGGTGAGATCTCGGCTCACTGCAACCTCCACCTCCAAGGTTCAAACAACTCCCGTGCCTCAGCCTCCCGAGTAGCTGGGACTACAGACACACACCACCACGCCCGGCTAACTTTTCTATTTTTGTAGAGATGGGGTTTCGCCAGGTTGGCCAGGCTGATCTCGAACTCCTGACCTCAACTGATCCTCCCACCTCAGCCTCCCAGAGTGCTGGAATTACAGGCATGAGCACTGTGTGCCTGGCCTGTTTAATTATTTTAAAGATTACAGTATAGGTTTCTAGGAAGCCTAGATGGAGATTCTCATTCTAGGTAATATTTAGCTATTGAATAAAAATTTATTTTCAAAACCTTAAAGTTTATGGATTACATACAATACAATTTTTGACTTGGCGCATGAATGTATTGAAATGAACTTGATACCATTATATTCACTTTAAAGCATATTGACACAATTTCCTAGAACCAATCTCTAATGACTATTCCTGAAACTTTTCATACTTGTCATATTTTTCCATTTCAACTATGTTATTTATTTATTTATTTTAATTTTTTTGAGATGGAGTCTTCCTCAGTCACCCAGGCTGGAGCGGAGTGGTGCGATCTTGGCTCACTGCAACCTCCTGCCTCACGGCTTCAAGTGATTCTCCTGCCTCAGCCTCCTGAGTAGCTAGGATTACAGGCACATGCTATCACACCTGGCTAATTTTTGTACTTTTAGTAGAGACAGGTGTCGTCATGTTGTCCAGGCTGGTCTTGAACTCCTGATCTCATGTGATCTGCCTGCCTCAGCCTCCCAAAGTGCTGGGATTACAAGCCTGAGCCACCACACCCGGCCTCAACATGTTATTTAAATCACTAGTGCCTGAACTAGTTATTTAAATCACTAGTGTTATTATAACAACATGTTATTTAAATCACTAGTGCCTAAAGTGATATAGTAATAGCTCAAATAATCATAAGGATATTTTCAGAATAAAAAAGAATATCATGGAAGTTATTACCCAAGTAAAACTGTACTTTACCTCCTTCTCTCAACTATAAATAAGAGGTCAGGAATATTGTCTATCTTAGTTACCATTATATTTCCAACAAAAAATAATAAAGGAGAGAGTGAAAGAAAAGAGGAGGAAAGATGGAAGGAATATCCTGAAATCCTGTCATCTAAAATAACTATCATGACATCTGGTATATATAACATAGTATTTTACCTAAATTCTTATACAAGGACAATATATGTAAGATATTTATATTTATTTATTTTTAATTTCTCAGCAAAAGTGATACTCAAATACGTAAGGTGTTTTAAACAATATCACAAGTGCTGAAGAGGTAAAACACATAAGAGCCAAAAGAGTGAAGACTGATACAACAGACTATAACTAGAAATCCTTCTAGCCATCATCCAGGGAATGGAACTATACATGAGATTGAAATATGGTTATAGCTGAACCTACTTGCTTGGTTTTTTAAAGCTTTACACAATTGATTCAGGATAATTATTGTGTTACCTTGATCCTGAAGAAAGCTTCATTGTTAGTACTGCTACATTAAAAGTCCTAGTGAGTGAAACAGAGGATATAGTCTAGTTCAAGGGCCAAGAGAAGGTATCAAAATCTTTCATTGGTTTGTCAAAAAACCCCACCTTTAGCAATTCCTGAGAGGTGCAGTGGCTCATGCCTATAATCCCAGCACTTTCATAGGCCAAAGCGGGAGAAACACTTGAGGTCAAGAGTTCGAGACCAGCCTGAGGAAATAGCGAAATCCAGTCTCTACAAAAAAGAAGGAGGAAGAGGAGAAGGAGAAAAGGTGCACAAATTCCTAATTTTTTTTCCTCCACTTTGTAAAAGAAAGGCATTGTTCTGACCCATCCCAAATACTGCTGTAGATATGCAAGCTGTCATGGACCACACATAGGTGAAATCTTCATAATAATTCATTGAGCTATCATAAACCCATAAGACTTGCTAAATTTCTCTTCTTTATAAATATTTATGGGTAAAGCTTTGTATATTGTGGCTAGTGTACACTGTATTATTCAATGAGGGAATTAGAACACATTTTTATCAAATCATAAAATATGCATTACAATTACTATGAGTCCTCATCTTATAAAATGTTTAAAATTGTTAACTTTTAATTTACAAAATATATTATTTTAAAAATAGCTGCTAAGTTTGTTTTTAGTAGACTAAAGCATTCTATTTCATTAGATTTATTTTAAAAGTTGAATCATGATTTTTCTCAAGACATGCATTTCCAGTAAATCTGTGGCCAAGATTGTCGAGCTATTTACCCAATGCATTTCTAGAATGCTAGACTGCATTCCTGCCCTCCTGCTCTTTCAGGTTTGCCAATATAATTGGTTCTGGTTATTGGAAAGCAGACGAAGTAAGGGGCTCCACTACTAGACTTGGCCACATGCCATCTTCATGCTCATTCCTTTTTTCTTTAGCTATACGGAAGCCATATGTTGAAAACAACAGAGCCCTGAGGAGTGGCCCTGAATCACCACCTAGTCCTTTTGGGAACTCTATATTAAATCAAGAAATAGCTTTTAATTATATTAAGCCACAAGATTTTGTACTTTATCTGTAACAGTAGCTAATATTATCTTAAGTGATAATAACAAATTTATTGCTTATGTTTAATAATTACCAGAATGTGTATCTATTTTTGGTGTCTCGATCAATTATGTATTAATATTTGTAATAACTCAAGAAAAATTTTTATCAACTAGAACCACTTATAGTCAGTTAAATAAAATTTTAAATTATGTACTTATTTTTGTTGTAATACATATACGTATCTGGTGGTCAATAATATTTTCAAACATAAAAGCATTATGACAAAAATCCAGAAAAAATCGGATAGAAATACAAGCTCAAGGAGAAAAAGGAAAGATGTAAGCTTTCTAAATGTTAAAGAATAACTTGCTCATATATTTTTAAAAATAGATCCAAATGTTATATTTGGATTTCATTGGATTCACTTAAAATGAAATTTATAATATGCTGGAAATTATGACCTATGCAATTATTTAAAATTATAAAAAATTTAGATGTCAACTTAAAGCTTCATGAGGGATATATAGTTTATGAAAATTATTTTAGGGAGTTTTCAAGCAAAAAAGTGTAAATGCACTGACGAAAGGGGGAAAGGGCATGCTTTGGAGTTAAGTAGCCCTGCATCCAAACTCTGCTTTTGCTATACGACTGGGCAAGTTAGATTAACCCATTGGCCCTTATTCTCCTTCAATAAATTAAATGAAAATACATGTAAAGTGCTATCTGGCACTAACCTGCTCTTGCTATTAAAAATCTTAAGTACTTCTAGGAAGGAAAAATTAGCCACTCAGGTGAAAATTAATTCATCAGAGCCCATATTTCTGAGAGTAGATAAAAAAATTAGGTACAGAGGGGAAAGAACTTATTTGGGAGAGAAAAGATAATTTTAGAACATGTAGTGTGAGCCAAGAGAAGAAACTCTGTTACATGGCAAAATGATACTGGATGGGACCCTATTTTGGAGGACATCCGGAAAGGTTGGCGAGGCTGTATATAAAGGAAAAGTGAGAAGAAAGTGCACATTTGCTTTCATTTGCCTTGGTTTTAGTCTACCATGCAATGAAAATAGCTCTCATATTTTAAAGTCACTCAAAAGATTTCTTTTAAGTGGGTGTAATGATTTTCTATGTACCCTAAATTACAATATGTGCTTTATGAACCTCCTCCCTTGTGTTCCACGTGACTCCTATTTTAAGTAGATCCAAAGTGATACCAGAGTTAACCAGGTCAACTGCAATCTGTGCTTATTTCCTTTAATTCTTTTAAATCCCTGAGAGAAATAAGACATTAAGTTAGCAATTTCTTTATCTAATACCCCTGATTACAGTGTGTATCTATTGAGACATCGGATAAACGCTAGTGGCCACGGCTGGAACGGAAGCTAGGGAAGGCTGTGGAGTTGCAAAAGTTCCTGTGTGCTAAACAGGGAAGATGCAGTTAAAATAATACCTGGCATTGCCTGACCTTTCTATTCCTTCATGAGCTACCTTAAAATTCAGATTTGTTGCTAAAGTTCTTGTATTTAGGAAGGGATCAGAGAAAGTCACAAGAGAACCGTAGTTTGAAAATCAGTAGCCAATGTTGGTAGGAGTATAAATTGGCACAAAACCTCTGTGGTTAAAAATTTAGCAATAGCTTTCAAAATTTTAAGTGCATTTGCCATTTGACCTGGCAATTCCACTTCTAGGAATTTGCCCTGCAAACAAAATCTTTGCACCTGTGTGCAAAGATGTAAATACTCATATAGTCTTTACTTTAAATAGCACAAGATTATAAGCAACTTGAGTATTTGTCAATAAAAGTGATTAATTTTTATTGTATGGTCATGTAATTGATTTCTATTAAGTATGACAGCTCAACAGTTGATAAGGAAGAATGGAATATTCCTTAAGGAGTGATCTGTAAGATATATTAACTAAAACAGGTAAGGCACACAGCACTGTGTCTGCCACCTTTTGGTTAAAAAAATACACAAATATGTTCATACTGTATACAAGAATATCCTTACAAGGATAAATAGTAAAGTGATAATAATGACTGCCTGTAGAAAGAGTTATATGAGAGAGAATTTTTACCCTATCACCTTTTGAATTTTGTGTTATATGCATATTTAAAAAAATTTTTTTTTTAAGAAAGTTCCTAAACTTCACAAGGCTGAGAAACTAAGATGTGTTGCTGTTGACTGGTCTTAACAGCCCAAATACCATGTAGAAGACAATGTGTGGTGCAAAAGCATTTGGTTTTGTTATAAAGACAAATAGTACAGCATGTATGTATATCCCTTCTGGACTTGTGGGTATTGGGATTTTTAAGCAGGAGATAATAAATTATGCCCCCTTTGTTCCCCTTTAGTGTGCTGCAACAAATCAGATATACCTAGGAGTCAGAGAGAAAGGGAGCAAAATAGCCATCACTACCAATAATGCTGGATTTGACAACTGGGTTTAATACCTATGCCTTTGCTCAGATAATTAAACTTGCCATCCAGAGACAGCTGGACAAATGAAGGCCTCTCCTTAGAGGCAACCAGCTTAACACTTAGAAGAGGAGGAAGAGAGGAGGGAAAATCAGTCAGTTCCACAGGGATTTACGGCCGGTAAGAGGAAGGGAGAGAGGAGCTGAGCAGGGCAGTTCAGTTCCTCTGCCAGTCTCATCAATCACTCACACATGGGGAAGAGTTGGGAGCAGTAGGGAGGAGGAAAGAAATACTTTTTCCAATACAAACGCCTGAAGGGTTTTAAATTTCTATTGTGTGGAGTCTGGCAGGAACACTGGGAGGAGGACAGACTGGTTTCTCCTGAAAGCAGCTGGCACTGCTGCCATCCAGGGCTGTCCTTGCTGCCGATCACCTGTGCCAGCTGTTCCCTCAGTTCCCTTGCATCATCTGTCTCCTCTGCTCACACTGGTTTGATTACTGCCCCTTGCATGCCTTGCACAGTTTCCTACCTTTTGCACTCAATATAGTAATGATCCCCTTTTCTCCCCAATTGGCTCTTCAGGTCCAGATCGAGCTCTAACTCTGGCAGTCCCAGCGACAGCAGCTTCGTGCTCCTCTAAGCCTTTTCAGAACTTGTTTTCTGACCCCTGCTTTGGCCCCAGCATGTGCTGCCCGTGTTCTTACATTTCTCTTTATGACTCTAGGCTCTACTTTCTTTGCTTTTCAGTCCTAAAGTAATCCATCAAGGTTAACTTTTTAAAAAAGAGACTCTATGGGCTGCAGTTATACAACATATACCTGGATAACTAAGATAAATTTGGACTCATTTTCTTATCCCAAATATTGTGTGGAAGACAATACGTGGTAGAGGGATTAAGATGTCCTTTCCTAGGCTGTGGAACTTAGTGTGCAATGACGGAAATTTAATCTCTCTCCCTGCCCCCATCTCCTGTTTCCCAGGATACTATGGCAATTGTTTGTTCATAGATGCCTCATAAGCTCTTGGAGGCGGCTGAGAATTAAGTTGCTTATTAATTCATTTAGTCTTGACCTACATATGGTTGAATAATCACAGGGCCATCTGTCCTCCTTAATTAACATGCAGAGATGAAGAGATTTCTTTCTACCTTCTGTGGATTGTGTGTGAATCCTGTCAAGAGGGCCCCAAAACGACTGCTGCCAGAGTCCTGGCAATTGCTTATAAGGAAACCAACAGCTAATGGGGAGGGCTTTTGTTGTTTTCTCTTATTTTGTCTTTTTAAGAGCCCTCCTGTTGTGAGTAGCTCTTGCTATTTCACCAGCCGAAGGCAATCTCATAAATGAATCAGCAATAGTATATTTCCTTTCAGGTTCGAAAGATTGAATGAGAGGCTTTCCCAGATGCCTGTGAGTTTCATCTCTCACAGGCTTCCAGGCTTCTCACAAGGTCCTCACCCTTGGCTGTGTGAAATAGACGGATTAAAACAGTGTGTTATAGAGCATTGCTTCTTCTTGGTTGTTGACATGAAGCGTGATGGGTTAAAAAGCTGTTGACTAAAACCAGACAAACTCTTATTGATGAACTTTGGAGTATCTGTGAACTTTTATGACCAGAAAATTCTACTTAACAGTTATCAAGGACCTGACCAAATGCTTCATAGTTCTTGGGACGGATGATCAATAGTTGTGTGAGTGATAATAGCTTCTGTGTTAGAGTGCTTTACAGTACACGAAAACCTGTTCACACACTTTATGTCACTTGAGCCTCAAGATATCTCTGTGAGGTAGACAGGGCAGGTAGTATAATTTCCATTTTACAGATCAATGAAAATGAAAGCATGAGTAAACTGAGCCTTACAGAGCTAAGAGAATTAAGGCCCACTGCTTTTAAATGCAGAGGCAGGACTAGAATTCTGATTCTGGTCCCCTTGTGCAGTGCTCTTTCCAATATTGTACCCTGTTGGAGTTCTCATATATCCCTTAATTACCGTGCCATATGCCATGTCCATTTAGCTGTAATGTGACCACAAGCTGCAATATACTGCTAGGAGTGCCGGGTGGACCGATCTGACCAAAGACATTAAATGGGATCTTGCCAGAGGTGGAGAACTGTGAGATAAACTGAATTTTGAGTTTCCTGTTTTTCTCTTAAATGTATCCACCACATACTCAAGTTCACTGGCATAAAAATGATGACAACCAAAACAGTCTTGAAAAAGAACAAAGTTGGGAGACCCACACTTCCCAACATCAAAACTTGCTACAAAACTATAGTAATCAAAACAGTGTGGTGCTGGCATGCAGACAGACATATAGACCAATGGAATAGAATGGTGTGTCTAGAAATAAATCCTCACATATACAGGCATGCATTGTATGATGACATTTTGGTCAACAATGGACTGTATGTACAATAGTGGTCCTATAAGATAATGGAACTGGGTGGGAGGTGGTGGGTCATGCCTGTAATTCCAGCACTTTGGAAGGCCGAGGTGGGCAGATCACCTGAGGTCAGGAGTTAGAGACCAGCCTAGCTAAGGGGTGAAACCCCCTTTCTACTAAAAATATCAAAAATTAGCTGAGCATAATGACGGGCACTTGTAATCCCAGCTACTCAGGAGGCTGAGACAGGAGAATTGCTTGAACCCGGGAGGCAGAGGTTGCAGTGAGCTGATACCACGTAATTGCACTCCAGCCTGGGCAACAAGAGCAAAACTCCATCTCAAAAAAAAAAAAAAAAAAAAAAAAAAAAAAGATAATGGAACTAAAGAATTCCTATTGCCTAGTGATGTCATAATGTCATGACATTACTCACATGTTTGTGGTGATGCTGGTATAAACACACCTGTTCTGCTGCCAGTCATAAAAGTATAGTACATACAATTATGTACAGTACATAGTACTTGACAATAAACAACTATGTAACTGGTTTATGTATTGATTCTATTTTTCAATGATCCTTTTAGAGTTTACTCCTTCTACTTATTAAAAACAAAACAAAACTGTAAAACAGCCTCAGGCAGGTCCTTCAAGAGGCATTCCAGAAGAAGGCATTGTTATCATGGATATGACAGCTCCTTGTGTTTCATTGCCCCTGAAGACCTTCTGGTAGGACTGGATGTGAAGGGGAAGACAGTGATATTGATGATCCTGACCTTATGTATACAGGCCTAGGCTAATATGTGTGTGTCTTAGTTTTTTTAAAAAAAAGTTTAAAAAGTTAAAAAAATAAAAAATTTTCAAAACAGAGAAAAGCTTATGGAATAAGCATATAAAGAAAGGATTTTTGTCTTAGTTGTTTTTAAAGTTTAAAAAGTTAAGAAAACAAAAAATTTTAAAAGTTGAAAAAAGCTTATAGGATAAGGATTAAAAAAACTCTTTGCACAACTGTTTTTGAAACTTTTTGTATAGTATATGTAATAACACTTAGTTTTAAGCTAAGTGTTATTACAAAAGCGTCAAAACCTTAAAAAAATTGAAACGCTTATAAAGTAAAAAAGTTACAGTAAGCTAAGGTTAATTTATTGAAGAAAGACAAATATATTTTATAAGGTGTAGCCTAAGTGTACAGTGTTTATAAAATCTACAGTAGCATAAAGTAATATCTAGGCCTTGACATTCACTCACCACTCACTCACTGACTCACCTGGAGCAATTTTCAATCCTGCAAGTTCCATTCATGGTAAGTGCCCTAAACAGGTATAACATTTTTATCTTTTATACTGTATTTTTATTGTACCTTTACCATATTTCCTGTATATATGAGTCTACTTTTATGAGCTACTTAGCATAGGCAACTTCAGAGACAGAACCTGTATCAGAGATTCCTGGTTGGTATGTTTAGATACACAAATGCTTACCTGTGTTACAGTTGCCTACAGTATTCAGTAGAGTAACATTTGTGCAGATATGTAGCCTAGGAACAATAGCTATACCATGTAAGCTAGGTGTATAGGAGGCTCTACCATCCAGATTTGTCTAAGTACACTCTATGATGTTTTCACAATGATGAAATTGCCTAATGACACATTTCTCAGGATGTATCCCTGTTGTTAAGCAACATGACAGTATAGTCAATTAATTTTTGACAGGAGAGACAAGATCATTCAATGGGAAAAGGATCATTCAACAAATGGTTCTGGGAAAGCTGGATATCCACATGCAGGGATATCCATAATGAAGTTGGACCCTTAATTATACCATATATAGAAATTAACTCAAAATGAACCAAAGACCTAAATTTAAGACAAACTATAAAACTCTTATAAGAAAACGTAGAGGAAATCTTCGTGACCTTGAATTTGACAATGGTTTCTTACGTATGTCAACAAAAGCACAGGCAACAAAAGAAAAAATAGATGTTGGACTTCATCGAAATTAAGAACTTTTGTGCATCAAAATATACCACAAAGAGAATGAAAACAAATTATGGCAGAAAATATTTACCAATCACATATCTGATCAGGGATTAGTATCCAGAATATATAAGAAACTCCTATACCTCAACAACAAAAAACCTCAATTCAAATATAGATGAAGGACTTGAATAGACATTTCTCCAAAGAAGATATACAAAAGGCCAATAAACACATGAAAAGATGCTCAACATCATTAGTCATTAGGGAAATGCAGATCAAAACCCAAATGAGAAAAACTCACTTGAGTTATTCCCTAACGACTAATGGACCTTTTTTTTTTTTTTTTTTTAGCTCCTCTTACTGTCATTCCCAGTTGAATGGGCTATTCTAAAGCAAACTAAACAAAACAGAATCAGAAAATAACAAATGGTGATGATGTGGAGAAATTAGAACTCTTACGTATTTCTGGTGAAATATGAATGGTGCCTCCGCTGTGGAAAATACTTTGGCAGTTCCGCAAAATATTAAACTTAGAGTTACTATATGACAAGCAATTTCACCCCTAGGTCTGTGTTTAAAAGAATTGAAAACAGGGACTCAAACGCATAATTGTACACTAATGTTAGCATTATTCACAATAGCTAAAAGGCTGAACCAATCCAAGTACCTATTGGCAGATGACTGGATAAGTAAAATGAGGTCCATCCGTACAACGGCTATTCCTCAGCCATAAAGAGGAATGGAATTCTGATACACACGACAACATAGATGAGCCTTAAAAACAAGCTACACAAAAGAAGTCAGACATGAAAGGAATATTTTATGATTTCACTTTGTAAAATATCAATTACTTTGGGTACATATGATTCCACTTTTATGAGATACTTAGAATAGGCAAGCTCAGAGACAGAACCTAGATTAAAGATTACCAAGGGGTAGAGGGAAAGGGAAATGGGAATTGTTGCTTAATGAGTATAGCGTTTCTGTTCGGGGCAATGGAAAAGTTTTGGAAACAGGGAGCAGTGATGGTTGCACAATGTTGTCAATGTGTTTAATGCCACTGAATTGTACACTTAAAATGGTAAATGTTATGTTATACATATTGTATTTTACCACCATAAAAACAGATTTGAACATAATTTTTGAAAAATTACAGACTAGTTAACTTCATAGAGATAGAGAAGCAGAAATCCACAGGTGCTCAGAAAATAATCATAAAGCTAGTTGGAAAGAAGGGGACAGGATGTGAGTGGCTGAAACCAAGAGGGGTGAATTGGAGACAGCTTCAAGGAAAAGCCTGTGGAGTAAGAAGGGAAAGAGGACGGGTGTTAAGTAATCATCATTTGGCAGACTCCACGGGGAAAGCTTTTATGTACTTTTCATTTTACCCTCATGGCAGTTGTGTGTGGTACATCCTGTTAGTCACTTGTTTCATATGAAGGAACAGAACCTTAAGTTAATTAAGTCACTTGCTCAAGGACTCGCCCAGTGAGTGGCAGAGCCAGAAATCAAAACCCAGTCTGTCGCTTCCAGAACCCATATTCTAATTCTGTCAA